CTCCGGCGATTTACCTCGCGACACGAATCAGACGACTGATACATGGAGTCATCAGATTCTGTCAGACCCCACGGTTTGGTTGGAGACCCACGTGCAAAGCGTCTTCTCCTCTTGGTTGCCATATGTGATATTCCGGTTCAGTTCCCAACGACTCCATGCGGTGGATATCGAAAAGTTGGAGACCAGGTGAAGTATCGATCTGTGCTCTAACCGATGCCTATATATGGTTAATCCTAAGGCTCTCTTTTCTTTCGGAAACGTGTCTATTCACTCGAAATGATTTGAAACACAGACGGCAGGGTTGGTTGTTCAGTTTTTTTGATAAGCTACTGAGCTGGGCAGTTCGGTCTCAAACGTTTCGTCAACAATAGAGCTGATATCGTCAGTGTGTTATTGTGTAGCGGGCAATTTCACGGCCGGAGAACCCCATCGGTGGGATGACCCGTTACACAGTAATGTACTGATAATGGCATCTCGATTGGTGATGACACGTTTGTAGCCAAATCACCCAGGTCAGGCAAAACTGCCGAACAAACGGATAGCACTCATTTTCTAATGAACTATGCACCAACTTTGGAATGAGTTTATCTGGCCACGGCACGAAAACTTTCCTACATATAGACATTTTGGTCGCATAGATAGACCCGATTTTGGATGTCAATGTTGGCGCGCTAACAGGCTAACGTCCTCAAGTGTTGCTTCATAATACTTATCAATCACTTAAGCGTTGCTTAGGCCGGAATGGCGATCAGTCGTGGTCGTTCTCCTAAAGGTACGGTGACTGCTGGAATCAACGGGATGTTTTTCTAATGAGCACCATACCTACTCCTGGTATTCGCCCATCGTTGTTTGACAGTAAGAATCAATGATGGGTTTAGGATGCGAACAGTTTCATCATTTTTAGAGGCCTACAGTTGCGTGCTCTTTTATTTGGAACTCAGTGGTGTAGACGCAAACTCGTGTCAAAACGATACACTACGCTGTGTGAGTGTAGCTTTCATATCACACATAAACATTCACTGGAATACACGCAACTGCGACAGTAATATTTGGCTCTCAGTCCAAACTCGTTTTTATACTCCGCCGTACTATCTAGGACGTCGAGACTGATCAGAATGACCGCATTAATGTATTTGTTTATACTAACTTTTATTTTTTTTAATTATATATATTAAGAACAAGGTGCAATATTTGTGGCTGAAAGATAATTGTATTGAACTTTAAATTTTTCAGTGTCAAAACTAATTGTACTTTTTATTCAGCTGTACACTTGAAACAAGTGATAACCTCCCAATTTGTCTACATGAGCACGTGTTCTTTGACTTGTTGCCTCTACAGTAGCCAATCTGATATTGTCGACGTTGACTTGTCTCACGAATTTTCGATTGGGCTGTGTTCGACGTATGTCTAGTTGTCACGTTCGTTCTCTCATTCATCGGTCCACACAGTTCTTCCGCTAGACCCGTCAGATACCACTGACGGGATAATTTATTTCCACAATGTTGTAAAGTAACCAGGAATTAATGTCTGCCGAATCCGGCACATTGAAGAATACTTGGACTGGCCATCGTCGAGATGATGACTTGATAGTCAGTGCTCACGCCATTTGGTCGAGTATATCTACCCCATACTTCGTGGAGTTGTAAAACAATACAACCTCGGGCTTCTTTCTAGGCTCTTGAGTGGAAGTTACTGTGCAAGGAATTGAAAACCAGCACATTTTTATTCCTTTTACACTGGTAGGATGTTAATGTATGCTTATTTTTATTTCCATAATAATTGAATTGAACAACTCTACTTTGCTTCAAACTCGTTCGCACTTCCCTTCTATTTGCTCGAATAGTTCCCAGTATAATTCTAGTTTCATCTTCGTGGGTTCCTCCAGACACTGCATATTATCGACTTTGTTTTTGATATTATTTTATACTACTGTGCACTTCTTGTGTGTTTCTAATGTAGTCTCACATCCTCAATATTTAAATTATATTCCGGCCTTTTATCACCGAGGGTTCGTACGCGTACTTTTTGTCATAGGATACCCAGCTTTATTACTGTACTAATTTGCTTGGTTATCTCGTATTTGTTATGGATTCCCAAATTGTTTATAAATATGGAGAGGATACTTGTGACACTGTAGTCACGGAAGGAATTTAGTATGACAGATGCCTGCTGTGGTATCACAATTACTGTTGGGTTTTCCCCTGACAAGTGTTCTCCCCACAAAAGTCACTAATATCTGTTTAACAGCACTGCGGCGAGGCGGATGTGACTCGCCTCCAACTAAAGTCACGGCCCCATAATTACCCAACCAACCACACCCCCACCACGAACGTCACGAAACCGTTCTCACACTATTCATGCGATCAATCGCAATTGCAGTGGCACATATTCAAACTCGAATAACAGATAGACATGCACTCCCACATACATGTGTGAACTCACAGCTCCAATGTTCATGATTAATTTGCACTATCTTTTATACCTTCACCGACATTTAGTTGTCCCTTTAACATGATCATGCCTACATAAGCATACCTCGCATTGTCCGAGAATAAAGAATTTATTTATTTATTGACTTATCAGGGCTCAATCGATTTGCACGCTCTTTTTCCCAAATTGAAGTGGGGTTGTTTTCACTTTGTTTGTTTAGCTGACACTTGCTTACGTATACTACGTCTCAAAAAGTGTGCCCACCTGTTGGGGTGGTTGCCGATGCGGATTGTTCACAAAGGCCTAACGCCACAGAGAAGTCAATTCACGAACAGAGATCACTCATTGACGCTTTAAAGGTACGGACTGAGGAAATCCAGTCTTCTCTCGTCTGCTATACGCGTAGTGCGGAAATTGCAATGCGCCGTCAAAGAAACGTGCTTGCCTATAGTCACGAGGAGCCAATAATACATGAGGGTCGAATTCGACGCGATTTGGATAGAAGGCGCTTGCAGGATATTCTTCGCATTGTCGGGCTACTGCCGCATGTGAGCATAAAGAGTCCGCAGGATCGGCCGTTGGAGAGAAGCAGAGGTGCTGCGCCAGATGGGCTTGGTAAGGCCCATATTGATTGTTTAAAAATACAGTTTATTTAACTGAGCAGGTGTGCTATCACATTACACCAAAGGTCATTATCAAGTGGCACCAGATACATTAGCTTCAGGAGAAGGGTTTCTCATCTAAGTCAGAAGGATAACACCGAGTTTACTGCACACGTTGAAACAGCGCCAATTCGTGGACCTCTTGTTCAAGAGCACTGTCTGATAGAACTTCAAAAGACCCTGACTTCAAGTGTACATGACAACGATCAATTTGCGGCCCCTAAATTGTGTTGTAACCCTGCTCAGGCCTTGAAGAAGGGAAACCACGTTCCACGTGTGACCACGGAGCGTGTGGTGCTATCAGGTGGTGGGATAACACCGTCGGCGGTAGGAAAAAAGCGATATTACGATCTCGAGCTCCTTAACAAAGTGCAGGTGATCAAAATCGTCTGAAGGTACAACCTCGACAACGATAGCTTCGGTGGGCTTGCGTTGGATGGCGCCAAACACGTTCGTACAAAAGCGCGGAGTGATCACATTGATAGTACAACGAGTAACGTAGCTGGCCCTAATCAGACGACTATGAATAGAAGAGCACATCAAAGCCGAGAAATCAAAAATTGTTGTGTCGTGGTTTACGAGAAACCATCTCTGATTCCTAAATTTCGGCTGTAGTGTACACTGGCCCAAAATCGGCTCGAAAAAACGGTCTATCCCCTCGAGTTTTACGCCCGAGGGGAAATGTAAGACAAATGTAGCTTCCTTGCCAGTTGAAGGGAGGAAACTGCAAAGTTGGGGTCTGAAAGTATGTTACACTAACTATTCTAGCGTCAGGAATAAGTGGGAAGAGTTGACGCTGCGTTACAGGCTCGCAGAGGTTGTCGCCTTGACTGAAACCTGGCTCTCGCCTACTGGTCAAGTTAGTAACTTACTGGTTGATTTCTCCAGTCATAGAGTTGATCGGCCCGAGCAACAGATTGGTGGAGGGGTGGTTTTACTTGTCAAACACAACCTTAAGAACTGGGAAGCTCCTATCGCTATCACGTCAAGTGTTCAGGTTGTTTCTTGCTTTTTTTGGGAGACGGTAAGTTGGAAACCTTCATCTGTGTGTACCGTAGCCCTGCTTCCAGTCTTTTGGAGGACAAGGAGCTCCCCAACATCTTAAGGCAAGCGACAGTTTCTGCGCCGAATTTTGATATAATTTGTTGGGGTCACCACTGCTGGGGTGCTCACCTGCGGTATTGCTGCCTACGGCCCGTTATACTTGGTGTCCAATCCAACCATGAAAACAGAAGCCAGACGGGTAAACAGAGTGTACTGTATGGAACGGAATGGCTCCACTTATAGGTCAA